GTCTTAATTGAGTAAAGGCCATTTTTGTAGTCAATATATGGAAATGGAAAATGCAAATGTGGTGTTTTCCTACTCCTGCAAAGACCCTTGAGGTGGCAGCCCTTTTCACAAACGGCCTCAACTTTATTATCAATATAATTTGGCTTCTCGCTTTATGGTCCCAAAAGCCCTTGTTGCTATCTGCCGGCTGCTACAAGAGGAGCAATTGCAGAATTGCTTTGCCACGTTCTGCAGGAGAACAAACCCTGGGCACTGCCAGCTTGGCATTGCAAGTGACTTGATATCACCACTTAAACAGGCACCGAGATGAGAGATTCCTGCTCTGGAGCAGAGTAGTTTCAAATATCTTTTACAGGAAGGCAGACAGAGAAAAAGAGAGAACAACTCGATGTATTCCCAATAAACTGATTATATGCCCTGAGCCTACAGGTTAAAAGCATACAAAAGTTCATCAACTAGTGCAAAATCGAGTCCACAAAAATATAATGAATTACAAAGTAATATAATCAGTATGCATAAGAAAATTTGCTAAATAAGTGATTTTAATTACATTTAGAGGCAGATTTCATTTTCCTAGGCAACTGATAGCAACCTACTTCAGTCCTTGCCTCTCTAAATGTACCAGCTGCTGCAAAGTGACAGCTTAATAGGTGGATAAACACAAATATGCTTTTACAACCATAGTAACAGATGTCTTCATCATTTTATTCTTTTGCACAAAGGTTACCAATATCTAGACATACAAGATATTTGTAAGTCAACATAATCTCATCCATATACTGGAACAAAGCATACTCACCATACTTTTTTCTACAGCAGAAAACAGTAATAGCAAACACTCCCATACAACAGACTTCTCATTGGTTAAAAATGATTAAATGCAGTTCAGCATAACAGCTGGCAGCAGCACATTTTAATGCACAAAATAAGTGTCACTATTATGTATTATAAAGGATTTGGTGGGTCAGAAAGTTCCTCCTTACAGTGACTGTCACTTTAATTCCCAAAAAATCTGCTGACAAGAATACATACCTGCAACAGCTTTCAGTAGGCATTCTCTGTCCAAATGTCTGCCTGTACAGGCCCTTCTCCTGCCTCCCATATATTTCTATTAGCCAGTGAGGATGCCAATCATAATGATGAACCCATAAGAATAAATGGAGGTAGGTAATGTTGGAGCTTTGCCCAATCACACCTGCCTATCTTTTGGGCAGTGTTAGAATGCAGCCCTTAATTTTTGTTAAAGTGACAGTGACAAGTGACAGCTACATCTCACCATATGCGCTCATCTGCGCATATAGATCAATAACAGTATGTTAAAAAAAACTGTGACAATGTTAAAAAAACATATTTCTAAACATGTATATAAATTACGCATACAATATGATCGTATGAAAAAAACAGTCATTTTCGTAATGAATCAAATCTTTCGGAAATCAGCTGCGTTAAAGGTGTGGTTTAATTAAGTCATTTTTAACAAGAAAAAAAAACAATCAGCTTAAATTAAACCACATCAGTCATGACATTAGACTGTTATATCTGTCTGACCATAGTGAAGGCATTAGACTGCAATTATACCTATCTTACCATAGTGAAGACATTAGACTAGCCTTTTTTCAACCAGGGTGCCTTCAGATTTCTTCAGTGGTGACTTGGCAAAATGCCTAAATTTACCCAAAAATAACCTACTAGTTGATGGCTTCCTAACAACCAATGACTTCTATCACTTGATAAAGAGGACGTTGGGCGCCTGCACAGCATCCTTGTTTGCCCCTCCCCTGCCCCTCTTCATCATCACTGATGTATCATTAGCTGAATGAGGGAGAGCAAACTGGGGGAGAAGAAAAACATTGGAATGCTAGTCAGCACCAGCGTGCAAAGGTGTATTTGGTTTGTAAGAATAAATCAACAATAATGATGAGTGTTCTGCGTGTGTGGATGTTATTGTGTTATGTACAACTATTAGTTTAGTTTTTTTAAATTCAAGAATGAGGTGCCTGGAGATTGTGCAAAATTTTAAAGGGTGTCGTGATTGAAAAAAGGCTGAGAAATACTGCATTAGACTGTGTTTGTACCTGCAGTATCTGACCATACTGAAAACATTAGACTGTGTTTATGCCTATCTAATCATAGTGAAGACATTAGACTGAGTTATACCTATCTGACCATAGTGAAGACATTAGGCTGAGTCTATACGTATCTGACCATAGTGGAGAAATCAGACTGCATTTATATGAACTGAGTTTATACATATCAACTGTAGTGGAGACATTGGGCTGTGTTCATGCCTATCTGTGCATAATAGAACCAGCAATTAGCTCCCATTACAGTGTTGTTAGCCTATTAACACTATATCTCTGTAGTGAAAATATTATCATTAAGTACGCACTATGGCCTTACCTAATAACAGGTAACAAAGAACTATAACATAGTCCATGATGCTCAGAAAACTAATTTTCAGCTTTAAGCAGTTTAAAGCAGTCATGTGAATAAGGGTTCATGAAGATTGGTGTTTTCCTGACCATTGACCTCAGTGGAGTAGTGCAGTCTCTGCTTTACATTTCTTCAAACGCAGCGTGTCCTATTGAGGTGTGCTTGAATTGCAAGCAAAGCAGGTCAAATGCAAGCTTTCTCTGACTAAATTTCCCATTCAAAAGTAATGCTGCTCTCAAGTGCGAAAGGCCATATTTGACAAGAAAGCCTCCCTACATTGGCCCTAAGGCAACCCATACATGATTAGTCCCTTTTTTTGTTCAATCTGCACTTTGCAAAAAATGACCCTATTACCCCATCTACATATTTGAGGTGGATGGGGAAATCCTCCCTGCTGAACTATTGCATTCTGACAGCAAGGAGGCTTCCCCACCATCAGAAAACGCTAATCAGCGTTGCTGGCTATATCCAACAGCACTGATTGAGCGGCAAAAATACAACAAGACGGTTGTACAGAAGTCATTCGGTAGATTGATTTCTGTCCAACCTCCCAGTGCATACATGGATAGAAATTCGGTTGGTACCTGTTTAACTGGCAAAATTGTGATCCGTGTATATCCAGCTCACTTTATGTTACCATAATTAATATCAGGTTCAGTTTGCCAAAATGGATGTGTTATAGTAAACCCAATACTTATTTTATTGCACAATAACTTTCTATTAAAAACTTTTGTTTCACAAATCTAAATATCATATAGGTATGTAATCCTTATTTAGGTTTGTAACTGTCGAAAAAGCCTAATTATTTTCATAAATCATTTTACCTCGTTATTCTATCACCATATCAAATGGCTGCTTTTGCTGCATTCTTCAGCAGATACCCAATGAAAGTTATCAACATTGCCAGCTTTAAATTACTGTTGTTGTGTGAGTAGTCTTGCTGGTTGCCTCAACTTGACTATACACTAGTAGATTTTTCAACATTTGAAGACTGAACAAATGTCTTTGAAAGTGCCTCAAAATTTTGCTTACTTTTAACATTTGACTTTGGAATTAATGTAATTTCCCAAAAAGAACACCACATACAGTTGGTAATTTGTTAATTTTCCATCCTGCTCCTTTGAATTTTCTAATTTTTTGTGGTTGATGACAATGTTGATTTGACCCCAATAATGATTAGAAAACTGAATGAACATTCTTAAAATAAAAATATTATACTGCAGCTGACCATTTCTTAGATGTGAGCTGCATTAGTTTTCTTTTGTAGGCTTTCTTTCTATTTTTGGTGATTCAGCCAACAACTCTGCTGTTTTTCAAAAGCACAAGCTCTCCAGCAGAATGTATCAGTTTGCATGGATGAGACAAACCATTTAAGACCCTCCATGTTCGCGAGCAGCTCCTAAACTCTAGTTTAGGAGCTTTTGGCATTTTTTTTGCCAAAGCTCCTAAACTCAACTCCATAAAAGCCTGTGTGTCCATGTACACATAGGCTTTTAGCAGCGTTTTGGAGCTGCTGCGTTTAGGTGAGGTTAAACCTCCCTCTCCTGAACACGAAGAATCACGTTCAGGATAAGAACATTTTGACCGCCGACCACGGGAAAACACAGCAAAACCGCAGCACCGCGTTTGCCACGTTTTGCCCGCGGCCGGCGGTCAGGGTAGGCTCGTGTACATGAAGCCTTACACTCGCTGGTGTGGTCAAATCAGCTTTTATTCACATAAAAACTTTGTTGTAACTGATTACAGGGCGAGCTAGAGTTTGGCTTGTTTGTGTATTTGAATCTGCTAATACATTTAATACCCCCTCCTTCCTCCCCCCAGACTGACAAGGCTGCTGTCTGCTGTGCCCCCTGTGCTCCTTCTAATACAGAAAGTGTGTTACTGGTCAGATCACCAGGTGAAAACAGAGGAAAATGCTGAAGAAAAGAAAACTGATGCAGCTAATACATCTAGTAATTGGTAAGCTGCAACAGGTCACATTTTTAAGTTTTGGGTTTTTACACCACTTTAGGTTAGGTCATTAAAAATGGGGGGAAAAATAAGAAAACTAACAGTGTTGCTGCCAATAGTGGCTATTCATTCTTGTTTATTTTTTCCATAAAATTAAATTTCATATTGATTGCTATTGGCAACAACGCCACCTTTGTTGTAACTTTTTCTTTTCAAGATTTAATGTTTCAGCCCCAGTATGCCCTCCACCAATGACATAGACAAGACATTCAAATCAGCCGGAAAAGAAATAACATAAAATGAACTCAAAGTAAATTTTGCTTTGACAAATCTGTATGAGTGGATGTAACTGCTTGCACTTTTCTGGCTAAATGCTGCAAATTCCCCAAATGTCATGACACAGAAAGAATTGGTGTATAATTGCCTTGAAACTGTTGACAGTCGACAGGTGCCTTTTGCATGGCTAAATAAAAAGTGCTTTTTGCTATTAAAAAAAAAAGAACCATTTCTCAATATGCACCATATTCAATCAGGAAAAGAAATGACGTGATCTACAACTGCAAGAAGGAAAAATTTAATTTTATAAAAACAGGGAAAATGTTTTTGTAAAGGACAAAAATGCTTACCTATCATGTGGTTGGCAACGTGAATCTGAATTTCTCTTTCATTCTCAAAGGTCATCTGGCACTTGATGCATTGATAAGTCTTCTTCTATTTAACATAAAAAATAACAGCGGGTGACATAGGGGGAACATTTACGAAAAAAAGCAAGAACATACTGCTATTATATCTTGTGGAATGCATTCCATACAAATGTGTATAAGGCCCCATACATATTTGTTATGGGGCCCCATGGCAGAATTATGTAGGGGCTCTCTGCCACTCTAATCTCAAAAGGAAAGCTTTCTAGTGGTAGATAATACTATATCATTTCATAGCAACCAAATTTAGGTTTCTAACCTATATACACATATGTTTCATATTTGTAATGTATATTTCAAATGCAATTGCCATCTATATAAATCACTACACAGCCTTACAAAGCTGGTGGCCATCTGCTACTAGGCCCCATTGCCATAGAAAAGGTCTACTAAAAGGTATAAGTAGGGTGTAAGTAAGTGATCTCCAGCTAGCGGTAGATCACAGCTTTCTTTTAGCAGATGCACAGTGTTTTTTACTTGCCTTTCTGAATACTTGCTGCAGCTTTAAAGAACATCTATGAGTCTATCTAATCACAGCCTAAGCAAATAATTTTATATTTAAAGCTCCAGACATATACAGTGCATCCAGAAAGTATTCACAGCGCTCAACTTTTGCCACATTTTGTTATGTTAAAAAATGAATTCAATTAAATTTTTTCCTCAACATTCTATAAACAATACCCCAAATTGACAATGCAAAAGAAGTTAGTTTTGAAATCTTAACAATTTATTAAAAATTTCTTCTTGGTTTCTTCCAGACATGACGCTTGGCATTCAGGCCAAAGAGTTCAATCTTTGTTTCATTGGACCAGAGAGTTTTGTTTCTCATGGTCTGAGAGTCCCTCAGGTGCCTTTTGGCAAACTCCAGGTGGGCTGCCATTTGCCTTTTACTGAGAAGTGGCTTCCGTCTGGCCAATCTACCATACATACCTGACTGGTGGAGTGCTGCAGAGATGGTTGTTCTTCTGGAAGGTTCTCCTCTCTCCACAAAGAAACGTTGGAGCTCTTTCAGAGTGACTAACGGGTGCTTGGTTACCTCACTGGCTAAGGCCCCTCTCCCTCAATCGCTCATTTTGGCCAGATGGCCCCGCTCTAGGAAGATTCCTGGTGGTTCTAAACCTCTGCCCTTTATGGATAATGGAGGCCACTGTGGTCATTGGGACCTTCAATGCTGCAGAAATTTTTCTGTACCCTTCGCCAGATCTGTACCTTGATACAATCCTATCTCGGAGGACTACGGACAATTTCTTGGACTTCATGGCTTGGTTTGTGCTCGGACATGCACTGTTAACTGTGGGACCTTATATAGACAGGTTTATACCTTTCCTAATCATATCCAATCAACTGAATTTCCCACAGGTGGACTCCAACGAAGTTGTGGAAACATCTCAAGGATGATCAGTGGGAACAGGATGCACCACAGCTCAATTTTGAGTGTCATGGCAAAGGCTGTGAATACTTGTGTACATGTGGGGGTTTTTTTTTCGTTTTTTATTTTTAATAAATTGCAAAGATTTCAAAACGAATGTCTTTTACATTGTCATTATGGGGTATTATTTGTAGAATGCTGTGGAAAAAATTGATTTAATCCATTTTGGAATAAGGCTGTAACATAACAAAATGTGGCAATAGTTAAGCGCTGTGAATACTTTCTGGATGCACTGTATATATATTAAACCTATACAATCTAGTTATGCATCCATACAAAATAACCTATTGTATTGGCTCCAGCTGTTGTCAGCCATATCCTGTGAGCAAGCCCACAAATGAATCCCCATAGGAGGTAGCTTCCTATGGTGGCGCACTAAGAAGGAGGAGGAGCTGAGAGTACCAGCGGGGGACTCAAGAATAGGAGGATCAGGGCTGTTCTGTGCAATACCACAGAGCAGATAAGTATATTATGTCTATTATTTAAAAAAACCCAAATACTTAAACTGTAGGCTAGGTTCACATCTATTTCGGCAAGTTTTGCATTTATTCATATGCATTTCTAATGAATTTTTCTTTTTTGTTTTGGTCAATGGCAAGCTACAGTCATGGCCAAGATATATTGGCACCCCTGCATTTCTGTAATATAATGCACCGCTTCGCCCAGAAAATGGTTGCAATTACAAATGTTTAGGCATTCTCATGTTTATTTCTTTTGTTTGTATTGGTATGACACAAAAAAGTAGAGAAACAAAAGCCAAATCTGACACATTCCATTCAAAACCCCAAAAATAGACTGGACAAATCTGTCAATATTGGTAGTACACCGCTTGGAAAAAATAAATGAAGTCAACTGCTTCCTGTAATTATCTCTCTTCTGGAATTTTGGACCACTCTTCTCTTGCCAACTGCTCCAGGTCTCTCAGATTGGAAGGGTTCCTTTTCCCAACTGCTGTTGTGCGATCTCTCCACAGGTGCTCTATGGGATTGAGATCTGGACTCATTGCTGGCCAGTTCAGTACTCTCCAGTTGTTTGTCTTACACCCCGGTCACATAATGTCATGCACATGGTCAAGACATCCAGTGCCTGAAGCAGCAAAGCAACCCCAAAACATTAGTGAACCTCCACCGAGTTTGACTGTAGGGACTGTATTCTTTTCTTTAAGGGCCTCATTTCTTTTCTGAGAACAGTAGAATGATGGGCTTTACCAAAAAGCTGTAATTTTGTTTTGTTTGCCCACAGCACATTTTCCCAAAAGGATTTTGGCTTCCTCAAGTTTTGGCAAACTTCAATCTGGCTATTTTATGTTTCTGTGGCAGCAGTGGGGTTCTCCTGGGTATCTTACCATAGCATCCCTTTTCATTCAGAAAGTGACGTATATTGCGAGCTGAAACAATTGTACCCTGTGCCTTAAGGTCAGCTTGAATTTTTCTGGAAGTTGATCGAGATTTATTATCCACCATTTGAACAATCCTTCATTGCAATCTTTGATCAATTTTTATCTTTCTTCCACATCCAAGGAGATTAGCTAGAGTGCCAAGGGCTGTAAATTTTTTGACAATGTTGTGCGCAGTGAACACAGGAACATTAAGATCTCTGGAAATGTACTTGTAACCTTGGGATTGTCCATGTTTTTCCACAATTTTTGTTCTCAAGTCCTCAGACAATTCTTTGCTGCTCTTTCTCTTTCAACAGAAAGGTTGAGTAAATTTTTCACGATTTTAACTGGTTGCTGGTGTGATTTCTATATTGTCAGCACCTGTTAATTCATACAGGTGAGTTTAATTACAAATTACAGGAGCATCACAAACTTGGCATGCAATTATTTCTTACAATTTTGAGCAGGTGCCAAAAATTTTGTCCAGTCCATTCTTGCGGTTTTGGAATGTGTCCGATTTGGCTTTATATTTCTCCACTTTTTTGTTTCATACCAATACAATCAAAAGAAATAAACATAAGAATGCCTAAAGATTTATAAGTGCTACTATTTTCTGGGAGAAGTGTGCATTATCTGAAAGAAATGCAGGGGTGCCAATATTTTTGGCCATGACTATATGTGTTGATGTTGCTAGGTGGAGGTGTCATGTCATGCAGGTAAAATCAGCAGAAACGTGACAAAAACACATTTATATGTGTATTTTTTATACAATTCCATTGCAGTCTATGGAGCAAACAATGCATCCTGTTGTATGAAAAAAAAAGTCCTTGCACCTTTTCAAAAAAAAGCATTGGAGGAAACTGCATAGATGTAAACGGGTCCAAAAGAATGAAGTTTAAATGGATTGCAGTGCATTTCTGTAGATCTGTAAATGCACTAGAAAAACACATAGATGTGATCCTAGCCTTCCGATCAATTTAGTGATAATAAATGGTCATTAAAAACCTTAAAGCAGAGCTAAACCCAACAATTTAATGGTTTCCCCAAAGCAGTTCCATTCAAGGCATGATAACTGTCACATTTGTTTGTGCTCTAATGGCTAGTGTCATAACTGATTGAACTGATCACAGTAAAGCCAGTAAAGCCTATTGCCACTTACTATCTGACTATGGTTCATAACAAAGGCTGGAATCCTTCATTGAAAGTTGTTACTATCGCAACAGCAATGAATGTAAATTAAAGAATAAGTTCACCTTTTGCTAATAAATAATAAATACAAGCTTTTTTTTTGCAGGTAAAATAAATGTGCATTTATTATTTTTTGTTGCATGAGCCTGTAAACCATCAGCAGATCGCTGGTGTCATGCAGGTCTCCTGCAGACCTGTCAGTATATCCGCTTGCCCATACAGGATGTACTGCAAGCAGATATACTGACAGGAAGAATCAATGAACTATCACAGTGCTCCATAGCGCCGTGGTAGTTAATTGAGAACTGCAAGTCAATAGCTGCTAAGGCTGTCGGGACTTGTAGTTTCTCATTCACAGAGGACTGTGAATGAGTGATGTGGCTGGGCGAGCGGAGCCCTATGCGTCCACATTTTTTTTTTAAATTATGACAGCTAGTGAGAGGAGAAGATCCCTAGCTAGCTGTCAAGCAGAGGATGGGGGGGGGGGAGTGGGGGTCGATCTATTCATAACATGTAACACTCTGAATATGGTATAACATGTAACATGTTCTGAAAGGTGAACTTATCATTTAAACCAGAACTGAATTATCATAGAATATAAAAAGACAAAGGGTAAGCCCTACTCTCACCAATGGAGGCCTTTAAAGCTTAACTTTTTTCTACAGTTATGATCTCAAAAGTAGTGTTGACATTGTCACTGTGCTGAGACACAGTCTGTGTAGAAAGCAGAGTTGTGCCTCTTTCAACCTTTTCAACACAGAGGAACCCTTGAAATAACATTCCAGTTTCAGTGAACCCCTGCTAAAAATGACTATATCTACAATCATGAGACATTAGTGTAATGGCCAGTGGAAATTAATCTGTTTATAATTGTAGTCATGGAATAGAATTCCCGCCTGACCTATAGCTAAAAGAAACAATGGTGTCAATGGGAACCTATGTGAGAGGCAGAAATGTCTCATTGCTCAAGTTACCACTAGTAACCTGTAGAAGAACCCTGGTCAATAAACCCTGC